ACGCGGGGCTCGAACTCACGGACCGCGAGATCGTGACCTGGCTGAAGTCGGACGCTTAACCGACTGCGCCACGCAGGCGCCCCTAAACTCCTTTTTTTAAAAAAACAAACTCCTGATTAAAAAATAATAATAAAGCCCATTGTAAGACTTAGCCAGAATTCCCTTTGTTCTTAATATCTTGGAAGTGATGAGCTTTTCTTGCTAGTGAGGCAGGAAAGAGAGACTTTTTTTCTTTTTTTTAATTTTTATTTATTTTTGAGAGAGAGTGAGACGGAGCACAAGAGAGGGAGGGGCAGAGAGAGAGAGGGAGACACGGAATCCGAAGCAGGCTCCAGGCTCTGAGCTGTCAGCACAGAGCCCGACGCGGGGCTTGAACCCAGAACCGTGAGATCGTGACCTGAGCCGAAGTCGGACGCTCAACTGACTGAGCCCCCCAGGTGCCCCTGACAGACTTTTTTTTTTTTCAAACAGAGAGACTTGCCAGTGGGTGATGACAAGCCCTTGCATTTGTATTGATGCTCCTTACCTACAGTTGGGGCTAGAAATTGGGTCTCCTGATTCCTCCTATGCAGCTTCCCTGGGCGGGAGGCCAAGGGTCAGCACTTGGCGAAGGGCGGTATCATTGACCGGAGATACCCCATGTACCACGTGGATCAGACTGTCCAGGGTCGGGCTGTTGGGAGCCTGGAGCGGGATTCCCCCCCTGGTTTATGCTTACGATACATCAGTGTGGTTAGAAGCGTGCCATAAATGCAGCACATGCTTGTATTTATTTATACTTGTGGAAAGTACAGGAGGCACATGTGGCTGCTTTCTAGCAACTTTTTACTGACGGGACGTCTGTCATTTTGTTTGTTCGTTTGTTCGCTGGGGGTGGCTTCCAGGGAGCTGTCTCCCTAGAGGACTGTCACGGTCAGGCAAAGACTCTGGCTGGACTTCTGGGGGAAGGGTCACCCCCAGTTTAGCACCTCCTCGAGCGTATCCTGCAGACCTTCGGTCCTCAGGGATGCTCAGAGGGGCCGTGCGAGTAAGTGACTCTGTGGGCAGATGGCTTGGAGGGACACGGGAGGGTAAGAAGCGGTCTGCGTACTGCGCGGCTTTTAAATTTGCTGCTCCGAACCTCCAAGGAGCAAATCGTGGTTTTTCAAAACTTCCTTGCCAGCTGAGCCCGTGTCCTCCGGGAGCCGCCCTGGAGGACCGCTGTCCCTTGGGAACTCACTTTGGGGAACTCCAGTCTGACTTTCATTGATTTTTTTTCCCTCTCAGAGAAGGGGTTTGTTCACAGGTGAGGGAGGGGAGCACCCCTTCCGTCGCTTCGCCCGGAAGGGTGGCCGCCTGGGGCCTCCCTCCCGGGCGCCGAGCGTGGGTTCCCGTGCACCCTTGCCTCCCCCCCCCCCC